TATTAAAAATAAAATTAGCATTATTAATATAATAACACCTTCTAAATTAGAGTAATAAGAACTTAAAACATACTTATTGAGCATTTTTCTTCATATATTTGCATATTAAATAAAGCATCATCGTGAAATATAGACTCCTAGACACTAACTCGGAAAAATATATAACAGCATCTATTTTTCTTGGTGTTAATGCATCTACACTTTTTTTTCCTGTCAAAATGCCACCTAGACGCCCAAAAGCAAAAAAACTATTCAATTCTTATTCTAAGCAAAAAAATCCTCCACCTACTACATATTACTAAGATACAGACTATAATATTTTTAATAACAAAATTTGTGTTTCTTTTCTAGTCAATGTGATGAGACTAGTACTAGATTTTTGGCTTTTATAAAATTGACACCTCTCCAAAGTACTAGAAACAAACAATATCAAGATAAATATATTAAATAGCGTTTAGCAAAAGTTAAATGCATTTTCAATCCAACTTACAATGAAAAAGATGGAATTAAAAAACAGATATGCTCTTTACACAGTTTTCTAAGTTATAATGATGAGTTAACTAAAACTTCATTTAATAGTTTGGTTGTACTCAATAAAACTAAAGAACATAAAACATACATTGATACTGAGTATAACTATGTTACCAGAACATCTAATAAAACCTAATAGTTTTCTATTTAATCCACGCCACCATCTATAGCAACTATATGGTTCTTTAGAACCATGTCTGGCTTCACAAAAAATACAAAAAATATAGAAGTAGGAGTAATTAAGTTTGAAAGTGATATCTATTATAAAGAAACAACAGTTGAACCAGTAGATACTATAATAAATGATCAATATACATTTTATGAAAATAGTGAATTAGTGCTTATAAGAAAGCGATCTGAAATAACCGATAATTCTATTGTAAATAGAAAAAGGGTATCTGAAAATGATAGTAAAGAGGACCAGATATCTGAAATAATTGAGTTATCAAGTGACGAAGAGGACAAGATACTTGAAATAATTGAGATATCAAAGTGATAAAGACAACCAGACACCTGAAGACAAACGGACATCTAAAATAATTGTGTTATTAAATATTTTCTTATCAAAGCTCTACAAAGACTTAACATGTCTTCACAACTTACAAATATTATACAAAACCTTTTACACAAC